TTTTTAACTTGAAATAAACGGGTTGAGAGCTCTTCAAAAGTGTAGATAGGAAAGGAGATGGACGACAAATGCGCGCGATATGGAGCACGTGTAGACCGAGAGCCACTGATTGCGAGAGACACGCAACAATCGCTGCAATTGACCGCGTAATAGAAACGCGTTATGCAGGCCGCGGCAGGAGCCGGTAGGATACCGGTCGACCTTGAGAATGAACACGATTCCTTAACGTGCGTTTTCCCTTTTACGGAAGGGTTCCGCGTTCGCGTAATTGCCGCGTTACGCTCGACCTTTTACAAAATTTGTGAACGATAGGGGAGGTGGACAGGATGCTTCGCATCAACCAGCAGAAGCTACTTGTCGAGATTCTTGCGTCTCTACACAGCAAACTGCATTTCTTAAAGAGCGTCATTTCAATTATAATTCACTGCAATTTAGTTTTTGTTGTGTAATTTAGACAAAATACAAGTTAATTAAAAGGTTAAAGCTGTATAAATCTTAGATCGTTATGGTTTCACTGTAGTTTTAGATTTTTCATTATTTGCGGGTATACGCACGAACTGCATTGAAGGCTCTGAATCAATCATTAAACGTCGATCATTCGAGTCTCGTATTCACGTAAATGCATTGCATTGTTGAGAAATCGGCATTAATGCAGAACAGTTCAATTGATCCAATTTGGAAAGGGTAAAGCGCCGTGAGATCGATAAACGATTTTGGGAAAAGGCGAGGCCGTGTGAGAGATCAACTGCGGGATTCATGGGTTTAGATACCTCTAATTTTTTTTATGGTAACCACATGAGAAAGTCCAAGTAGGGCCGTGTAACAACCGGGGTGTATGCTAAGCAAATGCAAATTCAACCGATCTGCATAATTCGCCAGGAGATTTCTCTTTGTTTTGCATGGTTTCGCTTTGGACCAGCCACTCGGTTTACGCGATATCGATCGAGGTGTCGTTGTTTATTACTAAAGGTGTTGAACTCTTGACACTTGGCGTTTTGATAAAATGAATGAAATAGAGAAAAGAAATGAAAAAAAACTTTCTAATAATGTCCGCAAGATATTGCTGCGGATGCAAATTAAATTGAAAAGGAACAGAAATCTTGATGGAAATTCGTTGAATTTGCTTTGCAAAAAAACACTGAATTTCATGCAAAAATTAGTTAGCGCAAAAATAAATATAATAAGCATTTTGATATAATTTAAGATATATATATTTTTTGAGATAAGATACAAAAGTATAGAAAAAGTTCTGTATAAAATATATTAATAACAATTAATAAAAAAGTAAACGGGAAAGATAAAAAAGGGGAAAGAAAAGAATATTTGAATAGACAGTTTGAACTAGAAAAGGAAAACAGGAAAAGGTACCACATGGAGAACGAACAAAAAAAAAGATAAAAAAGGAGATGCAGGAATTCTTTTAAAGAGCGGAGTTTTCCGGAGGTATATGTTCCCAGACGCGCAGGTAAAAACTCGTACGATCGCAATGTGAATTTTCTACCTGACAAAGGGACGGTAAAGGATACAGAACTAAGAAAGAAGCGACAAACATCGGATAAGATTTCTTTAGAAATATCTAAACATGCAAATTTATATAAAAATAGCCGTCCTCTCTTATTAGCCTTGCAGATATGACATAAGTATACGAATAAAATGTGCATAACGATAACATTAAAACAACTTAGAAAGTTCGCAAAATATCTGGCAACGGGTTTAAGCAAACGCGATTGAACGGCCATCGAGCGATCGCATATTCGTTCGATGGTCGAACAACACCACGATAGGTTATCGACATGCATAAATAATCATCAAATCGAAAATCATTTGAGAAACCGGCCATGATTTATCGTACCACATGTATATCGTGGCCTCTGTACATAATTTTCTGGTGAATTGTAGGGTAGCTTAATTGACACGTCACCTCTTCTTGTGGCCTACACAGAGCCATTCGTCTTACCTTCGATCCACGTGTCGGCCTTAAATCAATTCCGGGTATGGACAAATTACTAAAAGGAATTAATGGCTTCAACGCCGGCCCTAATTGGCCCCAAATCATGCGAGGGAGCCTCACCCGATCGTTGCCTCGCCCTTTCGATGCAAACAGCGGGAGATACACCCTCGCTCGATTTTATCTTGTCGCTAAAGTCAATTCTACGCCTACATGAAATTAATGAACGTCCTTTTTCGATCGATTACTCGTGATTCTGGGATCGCGCACGCCCGTATGCGAATGTGTAGATAACCTTTACAATCTCTTAAATTACTCCGTGCTTCGGTGGGTGGATGAATGAATGGAGCTACCCACACGCTGACAATGAAACGCGTTTGTTAATCTAACGCCATTCCACTAACTCATCTGAGTCTGTAATAAGAATTACGAAACCTCAAGTCGTTTATGCGATTGCAGAGACCTGCACCTCGGAACCAGTGCGAGAAGTCATGGAATTTGAGAGAAATGAATAGATTGCCTTAATGTAACAATCATTAAGAATCTTCTGACATGTCGGGTCTGTAAAAAACAAGATATAATTCTTTGTCGACGTTTAAAAAGAAAGATTTCTAAAAAGACTCAGGTTGTATATTAAACTATTTAGTGTTACAATAGAAGTCGTTAGCTATTTGTTATAAGTGGAAGTTCCGTATTCATTTTTGTACTTTGCACATTCTTAAAAGAGCAATTTAAAAAACCTGAAAAATGACTACGCAGAAACAGCCGGAAACGAGTGATAATAGAATGGTAGAATTGAATGAAAACATAAAAAAGGTCGTACATTCATGTTCAAGATAATGAAATCTTTTGTCAACAGTTGATTTTAAAGGATAGATCCTTGTAATTTATCTTGATAAATAAAAAATACTGAGTATTATTTCAAATTCATAATTCGGAATAACATTTACACACAGAAGAGATAACTTACAGCAAACAAAATCTTTACATATGAATGCAAGATATTATACTGGGAAAGAACAATTTTGTTGAAATATCTAAAAATCTAAAAATTTAGCTGGATAAAAATCTAAAAATAAATTTTGTTGAACTATCAAAATAATTACATAAAGCCGCTCAAACTGATTACTAGAATCTCAAAAATTTTTGCAGCATTGTTCATCATGCTTGAGTTTCCTACATAATTATTTTGATAGTTTAACAAATGTTTTCAAATCTATCTAATTTTTAGATATTTTAACAAAATCGTTTTTTCCATGTATGTAGAATTTGTACTGTGATCAAAGTCTCGCGGATTTTTCTTCGTTATTTCAAAACATTAATATAGGAAAAATTCATTAAAAAGAATAACTATGCAATAAGTTACAACAGATTGCTATATGAATAAATGAAATGAGTAAAGATCACTGTCGAAATTGGACCTTGATGCTTAATATTTGAAATGTCTCTTTCAATTAATTAGATAAATTGTGCGCCGATTACCATCGGATTTGAAATGCAATCTCCAACTGAAGCTGAAATATTAGAATCACAAATTAAATTAATCGTCAGTTTAATAATGACTCTAATAAACATTTTAAACACTGTAGAACTTATTGCGAAAAATATTATCTCAGCCAGGATACATTTTGCAATTAGTTCTGCAATGTTTTAAGATGCTTATTAGCATCATTACTAAATTAACACTCAATTTAATTTGTAATATTAATGTTTCTGCTTCAGTTTGCGTTTTAAATTCTACGATTATCAACGCGCAGTTTATATAACTAAAAGTATTTAATAAAATTTACATAGAAATATTATTAGGCACCAAGATCCAGACTCAATCATATGTATATATAATGACTTTTTGCTTTATAACTACAAATGTTAAGCTTCTTATCATGCTTGTGATAATTTGTAAAATAATATTGATCTGTGTTATTAATAAGTATCCTTTTTTTCACTAAAAGTAATAAACAATTTGAAAACAAAGTGAAAAAATTATAGAAACTCTAAGAAGACTTTTGCGTATAATTAGCGATGAAATAAAAAAGCGTCGAGAAACTTAATATTTGTACGCGTGGTCAATTTATTCCACCTTGCTCCGATTCACTCTATATGCATGGAAAATTGAGAGTTGGATAACGTTGGACTTTACATGTAAACGCTCGCTCTAATGCAGTAATCGAGTTAAGAACGCACTAATGTCATGCATGTGACACGAGGTAGACTCGGTGAAAACCTGTATGAAGATTTGTTTCTTTTTCTGCTTGAATTTATAATTAATACATTGCTAACTAACGCACTTAGATCTGCAGCAACAAAACATGTCCGTGCCCTTAGGATATACGAATAAATCGCGTCCACTAATGTACTCAACGATCGTATAATCAACGAATTGGCATAAAAACATCCGTAGGCGGATTGACACGATCGAATGAATTAATTCGATTTCGAAAGGTTCGATCGCACGCCACGCCGTAAATATAAATCAGTTGAGCCCGACAGTTACACGCATGCGTTGGTACGTAGAAGATATTTTTTAATCACAATTTCTTCTGCCAGTCTTTAATTTCTGCAAACAAACCTATCCTTTTAATTAGTATACCGTTGAATATACCGTAATGTTATAATTACAAGGATTCATAAATAATGCAAAATCATCATTGCGAAATGACGAGTCTGTCTTAAATCGCGATAACGTAATTGCGGCGCGAACAGCGATTTGCACATAACAACGTAAGAAATTTGCGATTATTTGGTCGCAGATAACTCAAGCTATCGCGCATATTCGCGCTGCCATAATATTAAGCTGTCACACAGAAGGCGATAATGCGAACGACTTATCGCGCTCATGTGCAAAGCTGAGTGCCTCAGTATGGCGTATGTGGGCGTGTTAGTGATTTACGCCAGTATGGTTTGTTTCTCATATAAGATGTCCGCGTGCGAAATCAATCATTCGGCGATTAATCCACGAGATTAACTAATTATTGTACCAGCTGCGTCTTGGCTAGTTGTGAATCTTGCTTCGAAGGAACACGAACGAATGGCTTAAAGGTAAGAAGGTGCGATGTTTATTTACGTTCAAGTCCCGTACGTATTTTTAAAAGATACAGTCGGTAAATAAATCCTCATGGAAGAGACGTTAGAGGATTTCGTTTATTAGAAACGATCTGGTTTCTCCTGCGTCATCGTCGACATTGCCAATGCCTCGCTGCTCGTCTTCTTCCTCCCGTTCGCAGGGCCGTACCGGTGAATCTCGCGCTTGATTATCTCAATGTCGTTCCTCACGGCGTCCAGCAACTTCATCTTCCTCTCCGTCTCACGCAGCACCGGTCTGGGTCGATGAACCGTGAATGACATTGACCGAAATCGCTACACACGAAATTAACAGATCTTACGGAGCCATCAGCAGCCCGCCTTCGAGCCTCTTCTCGTCGTGAGCCCATCGTAAATCTCTCAGAATTAAATGGAGTTTATTGACATCCTCTCGAACTCTGGCTGTCTGCTCGCAATACTCGTTCAATTCGCGTTCCTCAAACTCGATATCCTCCGCGAGGCATGTCTCCTTCTCCTTATAGTGAGCGACTCCGTTAACCATTTCAGCGATTCTAATTTCGATTTGCCAACAACAAACGGTTAATAAAGTCCTTGTTCGGATAGATGGTTAGAGAGATACATCAGTAGTAATTTCATTCATCGCCTTAAGTCAAAGATCTTTCATACTAGAGCTGCGACACTGTGGACATTTCGCCGGATAGCTCTACATGAATCAGTAATGCAATCCATGAAATATCGCCAGCGCAGAAGTTAAAGCGCCAGAGACGATATTTATCGGTTTCAAGATGATCAAAAGAACATTCGACAAGGAATACGACTCTTACATAACTTATTATGTTAATATGTAGCCGCGAAAGTAATATTGCTCGTTTCAACGTACTTATTGCGCCATTTTTCGAGTTCTCTGTCACGCTCGTCCAATTTATCCTTATAATTCACGTGAGCTATATGTAAAGCCTCGTAATCCATAGCGGTCATCTCTTCCCCGAGCGTTTCCAGATTTCGCAGTTGCATTTTTATCTCTTCGAGATGGTGCTGCAGGAGGATGTACTCGTAACGATTACGAGCGAGAATCTCGCGTCGTGACACCTGGCAATGAAGAAATCCTCATGTAAGCTCCGCGACTAACGTATATGCACGTCGGACGGATTTAATTGGTACGTCACATAATTGCTGTAATAGACAAGTGATGATTCACGGTCATTAAGTTACACCTGCCGACGAGTTATCTCGTTGACAGCCTTCTCCGTGAGCATTCGTCCGGTCTTCCCGTAAATGAGACCCGTCGCCACTTCCCTCTCACGATCCAGGAGTTCGTCGAACACTCGCGCGTTTTCGTCGCGCGTCTTTTGCACTCTGTCTTCATAGCTTTCCATGTCGGCTGCTATCCGTTTCTTCCGCTCCGTTACGTCGTCGAGGTACTGCTTATACGTGTGCAACGTTTGTCTATAGATCTGCTCCATTTGCTCGGATTCCTTTGTCGTATCCACGGGTGTCACTTTCTCTTGCATCTGCATGCATAAATGCATCGCGAGTGGCAAGAATCGTTTCTATTAAAGACAGCGCCTATTTCTATGCTGCACTTTCACATACGTCAGTTTAATCGTAACCAATCGAAAAAATAAAAAAATAAAACTTGCAGTTAACAGTGCAAAATAGAAATTAAATTAAATGTATATAACATTTACTATTGCTTGAACAATCTAACCTTTCTCATATGTGCGATAATCCACGACTCAAGAAGTCTATTTTTTCTTCGTAATTCTACTTGCTCAGCTAAAAGTTCTTTTAATTTGTTGAGCATTGCCTCGCGACTGGCAAAAATCTGCACCGGCAATCAAATTAAAGTCTCAGTGCAAATACTGCTACTTAACTTATTATAAGTATGTCCTTTTTAATATCGCAATACACTTTACGATCATCGTAATTTTATGAAAACACGTCAAGATGCTTGGGAAAGCCTTTTATTATTACCATTTCAATCGATCACAATAGCGACGGAACACGTATACAATGCGGAAACACATTTGTGCGAGGGCGCGTGATGAGAAGGGAGACTTAAGTCCTTAGAATATTACGAAGGTCGTGAGGCACAGTAATTCCACGGGCAGAATGACGCAGAATGACAAGTTTATGCGAACCTCGACTGGTATCTCAGCGAGCACGTGATCGGGCCCCACCACATCTTGCTGCACTTCCTCTTCGAGCTTTTCTGCCGTCGAGATTGTCGCAATATCTTCGGATGGTGCATCTCCTTCTTCTTCTGCTTCCT